GTAAAATTGGGAGTTCATAACCCACTTCAATCTAATGTATGAAATATGATATGTCAAGAGCTTTGTAATGTTGTGAACAACCAATAAAAATTAAAAAAAAAAGAAAATATTAGCTTTGAAATAGAATCCAAGGAGTCTGGCTATATTATCTGTGCACTTATCCTTACCACTGTCAAAATAGCAACTGTCATATAGCATGTACCAAGAACTATCTTAGCTGTTTTACATTTTTAAACCTACTTAATCCTCATAAAACCCTATGAAGAAAGTTCTATTACCTCATTGTAAAATGAGGAAGCCAGATGTGGTGATGCACATCTGTAATCCCAGTGGCTCAGGAGGCTGAGGCAGGAGAATTGCAGGTTCAGCTACTGAAGCCAGCCTCAGCAACTTAGGTAATAAGCAACCTAGTGAGATCATTTCTCTAAATAAATAAATAAATAAATAAATAGGGCTGGGGATATGGTAAAGCACCCTTAGGTCCAATCCCTGTGCCAAAATTAAATAAATAAATGTTAAACTAAGCAAAATTGCCCAAGATCACAAAGGTAGTAAGAGGTAGAACCTAGATTTGAACCCAGGCAGTTTGTGACCAGAGTTTAATTATTAACTGTTATTATGTGTTTAAAGTGATTAATCATTATCAAGTATTCTGCTGGAATAATTTTATAAAATAATATCTATGCCATTGATTTTATTCTTCATACTTTTGAAATACATACAATTTTTCAGAAATTGACTATAGTTTATTTCTTCTGTCCAAGAAACACATTAACATAATTTCAAGAGAATAAAAGTTGTTATATAAACACCTGAATTTTAAAAAGAGATTAGTATCTTTTTTGAGGATATTGTGAATGGAGTGTTTTTCCTCATTTCCGTTTCAGAAGTTTTGTCGCTGATATACAGAAATGCCTTTGATTTATGTGTGTTGATTTTATATCCTGCCACTTTGCTGAATTCATTTATTAGTTCTAGTAGTTTCTTTGTAGACCCTTTGGGGTCTTGTGGGTATAGAATCATGTCTTCCGCAAATAGTGATAATTTAAGTTCTTCTTTTAATCAACCTAACAAAAGAGGTGAAAGGCTTATACAATGAAAACTACAGAACCCTAAAGAGGGAAATAGAAGAAGATCTTAGAAGATGGAAAAATGTACCCTGTTCATGGATAGGCAGAACTAACATCATCAAAATGGCGATATTACCCAACGTTCTCTATAAGTTCAATTCAATGCCAATCAAAATCCCAACGGCATTTCTTGTAGAAATAGATAAAGCAATCATGAAATTCATATGGAATAATAAAAGACCCAGAATAGCAAAAACAAT